CATATATGGAGAAAAGAAAATAATCGCAATTCGGTTTCTGGGTTACAATAATAGAATCTGTTGACAAATTTTCCAACGAAAAAATTATATACTGTACGCATATTTGTAACTCTCATGCAAGTAGAGAAACAAAAAAAGCTGCATTTTAAGCACGCAAATTATTGACAATCAACTAATTCCGCAGCCACAACGGGAGACTCGAAATTCCTCTCTTCAAAAATAATATTAATAACTTCTTGCGACAGAATAATTTGGTACCTTAATGTACTGCTGTACCTGCTCACTGGCTGCAGTTAGATGGCAGCCATATTGATTGAATATACTAGAGATTTTAATCTATACCCTTCAAGGGTTTTAACAAATCAGGTGTGCAGAAGAGCAGACTAAAAAAAGATTTGTGTTGCACTGCAAGCGTGGGATTCTGAAGGTTACCTTTTTATCCATTGTGATTAGTGTGTTCTTGTGCATGTGAATTAAATCTTGGGGTTAAACAAACTCGAAATACAATTTTATCTTTTTCTTTTGGGATTTCATGAAAGAAATCCCCAGCTGCACCCCGCAGCTGATTTTGTGTTTTATTTTCGAATTTCTGCCTTTTTTGCGTGAATTTAACACACACATCTCCCGTTTTAAAATATCCCGGCACTTGTTCTTTTTATAGGCATATGATCAATAATCAAATATAAGTAACATTTTCACCTCTGATGGTGAATAAAACAATATATTTAAAAAAATACTTTACTGTTGTAGTCGAGAGAGACGAAGAAAAGCTGCATGAAGCCGCCTAGAAACTCGGGCACGTCCTCGCGAGTGTGTTTGACTTTGCTAAAGTCCTCGAAGAAAGCCATCCACTCGTCAATGTCTATGCGAGAGTCCTGCAAAGTTCACACACCAACACTAGAACTCAATCACCGACATCGCTGACAATAACAGGCTGGAACCGATTTAAAAAAAAAATATATATATATATATATACCCAAGTGCCTCAAATTTATTTCTTCAATAAGAAAAAAAAAAGATTCCGACGTAGCTGGCTGAATTTCTCGAGAAAAACCTTCCTCTCGTCGGAGGCGAGTTTGATTTCGAGCATAAATCAAACAACGACAATAACAACTACAACAAAAAAAGTCTGAAATGATTGCATGACGACAACAAAAATAAGCGGATGCTCCTTGAGCTATTTTGAGAGAAAAAATTAACCGGAGAAGTTCTTTGTCAACTGAAAATGCTGGGGAGGATTCGCAGACGGAGGAGTACTTCGGAGATGTCACTCGGAATAAATGCGAGAGATAAAACGGAAATTACATTCCAGGCGACAGCAAAATTTTTGCGAGGAGTTTGCACGAAAGTAATCGACTGCGAGACCTTTTCGATATGATCTCTCTCTCTCTCTCTATATTAGAAAAAAAACTATTATTTCACCTTCATTGATCAATTTGGTGGACTATAGTGTGGAGAATTTAAAAGAATTAGATATTTAGAGAAAATTTTTGAGAATTCTGTCAGGCTGCAACTGGGGTGTTTTCACCCTATTTTAAAGTTGGTATAATTCAGTTTTTTTTGGTAGATACACTTTCAAGTTTTTGCAACCCTTCTTTTGAGTGATGGGCATGAGAGTTCAAAACGGAATGATGAAAAATGTGGAGAGAGGAATCAGGAAAACTAATCTTCAAGGATCAGTGAAAGTTTTCAGAAGATACCCTTTGAGTTTCTTGAAATTTAGTCATAATGCAAAACCTTGGAACTATAATATTTCTAAACCAAACAGGCATGAGAAGCAGAGTTACACCTGTTGCAAAAATAAACGGCAGTATTCAATTAGTCACGCAAAATCCGAGAACCCAAATTTGCAGAAAACTATTCTTCATTCATCTCTGTGAGAGTCAAGGAAGACCTTAGTTCTCACGTTTCGTTCAGAGCCTCGAAGGCTGCATTTTATTGCTAAAATCCTGTTGCTGTTTTTTGTCCTTGGAGGAAAGTTGTCCTGTTTTCCAAATTGGCAAGAAAACTTTACTTCCATATTTTGCACGCAAAAGATTCTGTGTGAAAATTTGAAGCACACCAACTTAAAAATAGAGTGAAGTTTCACCCTGGTTGTAGCCCAACCAAATTCTGTTGCTTTTTTTATCTAAATATTTCTAAATTCAACTCTTTTTCTCAAACATCAGTATTTGTTGAGGATTCATTCCTGACAACACCCTGTTCTCACAAACATGCACAAGGACAAGTTTTCAGAAAATACCAATTATCATTCTTTACAATTAAGTGCGACAAATTAGAGTTTTGCTGTTTTAATTTGCGACATAGAGTTTACTAAAAATGCCACACACAAAAAACTGAGGATGCATCAAGGTTTTCGCTGGTAAACAAAACCAAAAATAATGATAGCAGGCTTAAAATGTTATTTATTTTCATTTGCTGTCAAATGTGAAACCGGGATCAAACTCAAGGCAAGGCCGTAACTTGACATAAACTGCAATAACCTGATTTGAATTTTGCAGTACAACTTGAACTAATTCAACAAGGGCTAAACAAAGTTTGACAAAATTCAAGCGACACCTACGAGATCACAAAGAAAATCACGGATCGCCAGACCTCAGCCATTATTGAAGTAAGTAAAGCTTTTCCTTCGTTGTAGTAGAGGAATACGATTTTTGACTACATTTTTGCACTTGATTGTTTAAAGAGATAAGATACCTTCTAAACCAGGGAAATGCTGTATCGAAAAAAATGTTTAAAAATCAAACTTTCATTATATGGACTGTAAAAAAAGTACTCATAATGAAAAAAGGCTGATGAAAAAAATTGGTTTTTTCTTGAATTTCGGATCAAGTCCCCAAAACAGGATTTCTTCAGGAAAATATCACAACAACCTCAAGCAAAATATTGTAAAGATTCCCGGGATGATAATTCAGAACATATTTGTCAAAACAAGAGTATCAATATGTTTCATCACAAAAAAATTGTCGAATTACCTATTCATGCAATAGTGTATTTTGTTTTCCTTTGAGAAACATATTTCTCAATTATGCTGAGAGCAGTAATGATTCATAAATGCTTCATAATTGCTCCCTTATTCGTAAGAGGCTATATATTTCACAATTATGACAATTTTGATGAAAAAACTGAGGAAATCCCCCCCCCCCCCCCATTAATTTCTTTCAATGAATCTTGAAAATACATTTCAACAAAACTTTGTATCATAGCGTCTTTTGATGCACCTGTTCAAAATTTTTTCATGAATTATCTGCTTTGCGAATTTATGTCGGAATTTCACGTTTAGAAAAATCTAGCGCATGCATGTTTTCGAAGAACGTTAAATTAGAAAATTATTGCGATAGAACATTAAAAATGAATTAAAATCCTTACTTGATTGAGGTCAGCTTTGGCGTACAAGGAGTCCCACCATTTCTTGGCGACCTTTCGCCAATTTTCAACGACCTCCTCTTCCCACTGTCCCTTTCGTTGATAGACGGCATATTTCTCCGCCATCAAGTTGAAGTCCTCCCAGGACAGAGTGCCGTCTCCGTCGAAATCTGCCAATTGTGAAAAGAGGTCAACATATCTTTAAATTTTGTACAGGTAAGTAAGTTCGTGGGGTCACGCGGACGCAGTCGAGTGTCTCATGCGATTGCGGTGGGCTCATATTTATATATGTTGCATTGTATTTTCTTTTATTTTTGTTATCAATTTGTGCTTTCCTGCTCTGAAGCTATTAAATGTCATTGAGTGGATTTGGCTTGGGTGGGAAGGGGGTTTGGTTGTGGAAATCTTGATCGAACCTTGTGAACGCTGATAAGCAGCAAATAAAGTGTTCTGTTCTATTGAGTGGACTTGGGTTGGGTGGGAAGGGGGTTTGGTTGTGGAAATCTTGATTGAACCTTGTGAACGCTGATAAGCAGCAAATAAAGTGTTCTGTTCATTCATTCATTCATATATTTTTGCACCCAAAAAAATCCGGAGTTGAGAGAAATTTTTGCAGGTTTGCTCATTAATTCTGGGGAATTTGTGTCACTTCAATGAAAAAGTTGCGGTAATCTCAAAATATGCTTGTTGTTGATCCTCCTGAAATAAAATATGCGCATTAAGCATACATTTTTATGCTTTCCATCGGCATTTTTAGGGCAACTTTTTGTGAAGCTCGTACATTTCATAGAATGCAAAACTTTTACCTTCTCCTCTTGTTACTCATTTTTACGATCTAAAATAAAAAAAATCTTCTCACTATAGTACACACTTGTGTTCCGATTTTTAAAAATCCTCATCTGAAAGTTTAGCAAGTGAATAACTTTGTCTAATTAAAACTGAGTCTACAGCCCGATGCTTCGACTTTTTTTCAAATTCAAATTGTTAATCATTACCAGAAATAATATACTTGAACATTTTTCTAAAACAAAATCGGCAGGAAAATTGATCTGTAGAAAATATGTATTACTGTTTACTGAACTTTTTAAACTCCTTTTTTGTGCATAAACAGTTCCCTTGAATTTTAAACCAGCAGAAGTGCTCCAATGCTTTTGGTATCTTACTCGTTTTTTTTTACTGCACTGTACTTGGGTGATATTCTTGAAATGTTTTAATAAATGTAAAATTCATTGAGGATTCTCTCAATAAGTACGAACATAAACAATGGGGTGGATGGGATTTATTTATGACTCAAAAATATGGTTTGGGAGGGGTTTTTTATTATCTTGGGCGTTTTCTCTATCGAATTACGAGGGACGAAAGAATACGATATTTTCTCTGAACACCAAACATTTAAACTTGAAATTTAAAAAAATCTGTTCGCGGTTTAAAAAAAATCATCGTTACTCACCCCAGTATTTGTGGTAAATCCATAAGTGCTTGTGGCGGAAAAATTCCTTGTCAGAAGCCATATTATCAAAGTTTTCCACGAAACACACCAAATGGGAAAAACTGCTGTCGGGGGAATCAGTTAGTTTTCCTATTTTTTTGGGATCAAACATGGCATTAAGTGTAGAAAATGGCATTCAATGCATAAACATATCCGCGACCGAATATATATAGTGATGAAAGTTCGCCATTTCGTTGAAATTTCCGCAAAAAATACTAAAGCATTTCTGCGTGATTATTATGCAGTTCTGCAATTGTTCCATGTTATCTTAAATTCAAAAAAGGGAGGATTGTCATTGGCCCAATTAATGTGAAGTTCTCTTGATACATGCAGTTGCAGTCCTGCATAAATTTTTTTGTAAAAATTTTATTTGTGAAGCATGAAGCTATATGAACTTTTTTTCTGGTCGAACTTGAACCTCGCAAATATTCATTATACTACTAAAATGCATCACAGGGAGTGAACCAATTTGGGCATAATTGAAGGTTGAATTTAACAGTTTGAAACAGAACCATCAGATTCAGCGATAAAGCACGCATTCATAAAAATATGCCAAATATGTCAGCAGACACGTCAATTTTTTTTTCACTTTACAACAAATGCTGACACAGCTCGGTCTTGGTTAACAAACATTATTTGTTCCATTCTTAGTGTTATTTGTTAGCTGGAATGTGTTTTAAACTGGATTGGAAAAATTCGAATCCTTTCTTGGAGGAAATATCAAGATTTCGGCCCCAGAAAAAACATGTCCAAGTTGGATCCCTCTTTTTATAAGCTGCTGCAGGAACCTTTCAAACATCAAGTTTATTGTCAAATGAACCGATTTTTTTTAAAGTACATGATCAGAAAATTCCCACGGCATAATAATGCATTTCATCATAATTTTAGCACGTTTTTCTCAAAGTCCTCGCAAAAATTTCACAGAAACCACGTTTAATAAATTGCGTCATCACCAAACGTCACTATATTCAGTAAAAAAAGTTGATTTTCAATACTATTTCTGTGCTTTTGCTTATACTGTACTTTCAGAATTTTTTTCAACGACAGAAACTCTGTCATTTATTGTTCGATCTTGTTGACTCATAAAGAAAAAAATTTCAATCTGGTAAAAGATAATCTCCTCTTTCATAAATGAAAGTCCCAATTTTACAACGAAAATATTTATGAAGCATTTTCTAGAAAATTATTATTTTCGGAACAGAAGGAAAAAATCTACTTCGTACGTCTGTGATGTCGAATATTCTTTAAAAAAAAGTTAGTTTTCAGCTGCTGAGAGTGTCGAATATTCTACAACAAAAAATAGTTTGTAGCTGCTAATATATGAGCTAGAAGACGCGTTTATTTTCAAAAACAAATAACAAGATTTGAGGGGATTACTCCTATGCGGAAAAGGCAAACGATACTGAACATGAAAACCACGTGGTTTCTGCTTTTAACTTCCTGATGGCATTGTCGAATTTTGAATATGTTTGATGTACAGTTCATCTTCCATTTTTTCCCCACAAATTTGTGAAAATATTCCTTGTTCCGTATATGTTGGGAAACTGCTGCACGCGCACGCCAAACAATGCACAAAATTAAATTATAAAACTGCAAAATCAGATAAGAGTTCTGATCCTCAAAGGGAAGGAACTCACCAAGGAAAACCACCTAAAACGAACAATGAAAAACAAGTTTTAATTTCCGCTTCTCCCAAGTTTCACTGAAGAACAAATTTCCCAAAGCCACTTGCTATCAAACTTCTGACTTGTGCACATCGCGAAAATTACAAAATTCTGTGGAGAGTTCTGTTGAGTGTTCTGTTGTCAATAATTAATTGTTTGTGTGCAAATCTTGGGACAAAAACCGAAATATAATTTATTAATTTAAAGGAGGAAATCCAAAGGGATTCCCCGGCCTTGTCCCAGGCTAATTCTGCATGCCTTTTATTTCCAAATATTTCAAACTTTACTTTTATTCAGTCAATTTATTGATCCACTTGCAATAATTAACAAATTTATGTTAAGGTAAGTTCTTCCTCAACAGTATAGCCGTAAAAAAAAACTGACCATGAGCACCACGGTTTTTAACGTTCTATTCTCAATGGCTGGATGTTCACCAGTTATACTTCTTCACTTTTTTTTGTTGCGGATATTCCATCGCGGAATTCTAAAATTATCCCGTCACGCAGCATATAATCATAGTCGAATGTCAAGGACCTTCAAGCACGGAAAACACCCGACGACGCGATGGAAAAAAAAACTAACAGAAAGAATAAGGATACTTCAAGAAGCAGCAATAAGTGAATACGAAACAATCTCGGAGAACTCGCGTGTACTACATTTGCAGCATCCAAGTGGGTTCTAACCCCGACGGACGAAGGCAACTGAGGGAGAACCCGTCCCGCGGAACCCGCGGCACACACCACATATCGTCGTCGGGACCTGTCGCCAACGCTGTCATTGTCGACAGCAGCGCACAAACACCGGCCATATGTTACATGCGTTTTTTTTTCTCTCTTCAATTTCTTTCTTTTTTTTCGCGTTTGGCAGAAGAAGGAAAAATATACGTTTCGCACAAATGTAATCGTCATTCGGGCGAGACAACCGCGACTATCCAGCGATGAGAGACGCAAGGTTGACCAGAAAATGAACAATAATAATAATAATGAGTAATAAAAATAATAATACGAAAAGAGAAGACAGGTACATTCAGTTGTACACTTACAACTATATAAACTTACACCGACGTGACGATGATGACGAACCCACGTCCTCGTCACGTCGGTGTTGAAAACAGACGATATAGAAAAAAAGACAGGAAAAAATAATAAATTTGAGCAAATATAGCACCTCGAAACTAAACAGAACAACCGTGACGACACATGCGAAAATCCGGTGGCAAATTTTTTGCGTGCAGTCTTTATACAATGAGTAATATATTCCTGAAGCATGCGATAGAAATACAACCAACTCTGCGTCTGATATCGTTTTTTATCGTCTCGAATCAAATATTTCTTTTTGTATACTTAAATGTATGCTCTCAAAACCTAGCAACTTCTGAATTTCTACAATGAAGGGCTGTGCGAAAGCATCGAATTTATTGCTGCGAATGGATTAAATAATGAATGATGATAAACGCCTCCCCGTTTGGCATTTTAAAATACTGTATGTTTTCATTACGAGCAGTTAGTTCATTGTGTTCAATTTATAGAATTTCAGTACTGTAATTCGAAGAGCTTTGTTGGACTTCTAGTTTGCAGAAAATTGCCGATGACAGAAATATTTGTAAAAGACTCAAAAAAAAAATATTCAAGCGAGGAAAATAGGTAAAAAAAAGCGGGAATTCCCCGACAACAAAAAAATGTAATAAAAATATTTTCTGACAGACCTTTGATCATCGGTCCATATATTAAATTATTATTTTTTACTTGTTCTTCCTTGCAAGTTTAAACTCCAACTCTTTTTTATTCAATCAGTCGCCAGCAGCATTGCTAAAAACGACATAATCTAGCATAATTGTTTCTTTAAAATCTTTTGAGTAATTCGAAGCTCCGGAACAATAATCAAATGCTGACGAAAAATTGAAGATGAAATAAATGAAAGTATTCGAATGGGACTTATACTCGTTTGATAAATTTCTTTCACAAACTTGATTGGATATAAATTCGGAGAGACTCTTTCTGCAGAGAACCTCTGAAAAAATTACTAAAGAATCCCTCGCTTGCTTTCCGGGAAAATGAAATTCTCCTACGAAATGAGTTTCAACATTTCCTCCTGATGATGCAGATGACGACCGACTCGTATATATTTACAACGGCGGCGTTCACCATTTAATTAAAAGCAATCCTTTTCATGCAGATCTGCGAATCAAAGCAAAATACTGCGAGAAAGAAAGAAAAAAATATGTTTACCTCTGCTAAAAGACTGACTCATTACTTCAACAGTTGAATAACACGCAGCTGGAATTCAAAGCAAGAGCGGGAGACCAACACCCGGTTATTCTGACTTCTGGTTCTGGAACACCACGTCCGCATTCTTGAGGAGAAAAAGGTCTGTCACATCATTCACCGACGAGGACAGATAAAAGGGAGGATTGTCATTGGCCCAATTAATGTGAAGTTCTCTTGATACATGCAGTTGCAGTCCTGCATAAATTTTTTTGTAAAAATTTTATTTGTGAAGCATGAAGCTATATGAACTTTTTTTCTGATCGAACTTGAACCTGGCAAATATTCATTACTATTGGAATTCACAGGATTTGAACCAATTTCGGCTTCATTGAAGGTTACATGTAACAGTTTAAAACAGTACCATCAGATTCAGCAATAAAGCACGCATATCCATACAAATATGTCAAATGCGTCAGCACGCATGTCAAATTCTGTTACTTTATAACAAATTCTGACACAGTTCGGTCTTGGTTAACAAGCATTATTTGTTCCATTCTTAGTGTTATTTGTTAGCTGGAATGCTTTTTAAACTGGATTGGAAAAGTTCGAATCCTTTCTTGGAGGAAATATCAAGATTTCGGCCCCAGAAAAAACATGTCCAAGTTGGATCCCTCTTTTTATAAGCTGGTGCAGAAACCTGTCAAACATCAAGTTTGTCCAATGAACCGTTTTTCTAAAGAACATGATCGGAAAAATCGCACTGCATAATGCGTTTCATCATAACTTTTAGCACGTTTTCTCAAGGTCCAAGCAAAAATTTCACAGAAACCACGTTTAATAAATTGCGTCATCACCAAACGTCACTATATTCAGTAAACGAAGTTGATTTTCAATACTATTTCTGTGGTTTTGCTTATACTGTACTTTCAGAATTTTTTTCAACGACAGAAACTCTGTCATTTATTGTTCGATCTTGTTGACTCATAAAGAAAAAAATTTCAATCTGGTAAAAGATAATCTCCTCTTTCATAAATGACTGTCACAATTTTACAACGAAAATATTTATGAAGCATTTTCTAGAAAATTATTATTTTCGGAACAGAAGGAAAAAATCTACTTCGTACGTCTGTGATGTCGAATATTCTTTAAAAAAAAGTTAGTTTTCTGCTGCTGAGTGTGTCGAATATTCTACAAAAAAAATAGTTTGTAGCTGCTAATATATGAGCTAGAAGACGCGTTT